AAAAAAAAAAAAAATTATTCCTACTTTTACTACGTTTACTACGTTCACTTCCAGTCTCATTGCTTTCTAATGGTAGAGTCCCAAGCACGTTGGGAAAGGAAATACTATGCAAATGAAAGAAACATTTCCATTGTAAGGCCACCAATTCCTTGTGAGAAAAAGCTCGCCTCCTTCTTTATTACCCGTCATGTCACACAGCACTCCATGAAGCAGAGGGGCACAGCCACGTCAAGTTTTAATGAATAAAAACACAGTGAAACATTGAGAGCTTTTGCTTCTTCAAAAAAAAATTTTTTTAATGTTTATTTTTGAGAGAGAGAGAGAGAGAGGATGTGCGGGGGAGAGGCAGAGAGACAGAGGGAGACACAGAATCCGAAGCAGGCTCCAGGCTCCAAGCTGTCAGCACAGAGCCCGACGTGGGGCTCGAACCCCCGAACCGTGAGATCATGACCTGAGCCGACATCGGATGCTTAACCGACTGAGCCACTCAGGCGCCCTGAGAGCTTCTGCTTCTATTTCCACTGCCAACCACGAAAGGCCAGAAGGCCTGTGGGAATCCAGTTGGTAACTAGGACCAGCTAGCCATATTGTCCCCAAGTACTCCAGGCCATCAGGAATAGTCTGACGCAGCTGGCTGAATGAAAATATTCTGGCAGAGAAGTGTTCGTTTTCATCTGTCTATAAAAATATCTGTCAGATTCACTCATTCCCTCCTATCCGTCCCATTTCACGGGGCGAGGATGTCATTCAGATATTACAGCTTATGTATGAAAAAGAAGGCATCACAACTCCGAACCCCACAAAACCTCTCTATGCAAGGGCCTCGGAGCCGCTTCTTACCAACTTTTAAGCACGTGTATGCACACACGCTGAGATGACAGGATGCTCGGCAGAACCGTAACAGCGTACCTCAGGCCCTGCTGAGCTTGAGGAACTGGATAAACATTGCAATCTGCAAGAAAGTTCACTTGAAAGCCACAGTGGTTTGACGGTCATTGCACTCATCATTATGAAACACACAAAAGGTTCAGCAGTGTTTGTTTTTTTTTAAATAAATTTATTTTACATTGAGAGAGAGCATGAGCAGGGAAGGGGCAGAGAGAGAGAGGGAGAGACAGAATTTCAAGTAGGCTCCACGCGGTCAGTGCAGAGTCTGACGCGGGGCTCAAACTCACGAACCATGAGATCATGACTTGAGCTGAAACCAAGAGTCAGACGTTTACCCAACTGACCCACCCAGGAGCCCCGTCAGTGTTTTCTCCCAAAAGAACACAGAGGTTCCCTTCTCTGATCTCACGAGGCAGTGATATTCAACCAGTTGCCCTAGAGGCTGCCCTTCCATTTCCTGCACTTCTGACCCCTCGTGTGGGGCCCAGGGGCATGCCAGCCTAACCTCTGGGCACAGATATCCCTCAGCTACACAATTCCCCTAAATGCTGGTCTCTGAACAAGATCATTAAGTCACTGAAGTCTACGTGCAGGTGATAGAGAAATGGCTCCCATACAGTAATTTGGATGGTAGATTTCACCCATCTGGTTAAGAAAAGAACAGGAAATCCACACTTCTTGCGAGATCCACGGAGTAAAAGGAACTACTTGGATTGGCTCAATTACTTGGAGTGGCTCCAATTACTCTGCAGCGCTGGCTCATAAAAGTGTCCTAGTACCTCGCATGTGGAAGAGAGTTAACGTTATTAGCAGGTCTGAGACGGCGGATCCTTACAAATGCCTGCTCGCGGTGTCGGTCCTTCCTTCATTGGTATCTGGGACCCAAGATATAGGAGGGACCTCCCCAACCTGATGAGAGTGACTCAGTGTGCCCAAACTGTTTAGGCAAAGATTATGACGTATCCCAAACTCTTGTGTTCGTTCTGAGAGTCCACAAACTTTTGTTATGTGCAGTAGAGGGGGCCTATGTGATCTAGGCACGGAGTCCCGAATGAGCTTCCCTGGAAGACAGTATTTTACATATGCTGTTACAACTTGTTGCTTGGGGAAGTGAGCCCATCCTATGGATTACAGTAGGAGATAACATCTCCTTGAAGCTTGCATGTGGTTTCCTCCAAAACAAATTTATTTATATTTTTTAAGGGGTGTGGTGTGTGTGTGTGTGTGTGTGTGTATTTAAGCCATCTCTACACCCAACAGGGGGCTCCAACTCATGACCCAGAGATCAAGAGTCACAGGCACCAGGGGTGCCTGGGTGGCTCAGCCGGTTGGGTGTCCGACTTTGGCTCAGGTCATGATCTCACAGCTTGTGGGTTCGAGCCCTGCATGGGGCTCTGTGCTGACAGCTCAGAGCCTGGAGCCTGCTTTGGATTCTGTGTCTCCCTGTCTATCCCTCCCCTGCTCACTTTCTCGCTCTCTCAAAAATAAATAAACATTAAAAATAAATTTTAAAAAAAAAGCATCACAGGCTCTACTGACTGAGCCAGTGGGGCATCCCCCTCCAGGACAAATTTAACTGAACACTAAACAAGACTAATGAATGATATTTAATAATCCTAATGGAAAAAGATTTACATTTTTCTTGAACAAAGAAGAATGAAAAAAAGTGAAAATATGGTACATGTTCTTAGAAATAACTCCACTTCTTAAGATGTTTCCTCTCCCAAAATGTGTCTTTATTAAATTCCAACAATCCCCAAAACAGACTTTTTATTAGACCTCCAAACCTAAAAGGAAAAACAAATGTCCAAAAATGGTCAAGGTCTTCCAAAGAACAAAGTGGCGGCTTGCCGAATATACATCAAAGATTTTCAAATCACAGTATTCCAGACAACATAGCATTAGCAGAGAGAAAAACAGACCGAGGGAAAGGAAAAGTGTCTTCCGTGGACCAGCATTAAATGTCGAAAGCTGGTCAAGGGCGGATCAGGCACTGTGAAGCACTGGCAGACATCTGAAGCCCTTTAATACATGGGGCAAAGACAAACTGTCACCTAACTGGAAAAGCGCATTATATTCCCTCCTATCCCGCGGAAAATAGCCAATTCACTGTAGACTTAAATGTGAAAGATAAAACCAAGGCACTTGTAGAAGCCATAGATAAATACTTTATTGATTGAAAAATAGGGAGAATTTTCTCAGGTAAGGGAAAGAGTAACATCTCAAACGAGATGGGGGCGCCTGGGTGGCTCATTTGGCTAAGTGTCTGACTTCGGTCATGATCTCACGGTCCGTGAGTTCGAGCCCCGCTGACAGCTCGGAGCCTGGAGCCTGCTTCAGATTCTGTGGCTCCCTCTGTCTCTGCCCCTCCCCTGCTTGTCCTCTCTCCCTCTCTCTCAAAAATAAATAAACATTAAGAAAAATTTTTTAAAGGTCTAAACGAGAGACTGAACAACTCATATATAAACTAAGGAAATCAAAAAACACAAGATATAAGAAAATATCTGTAATACATGCAACATTAAAGAGTTTAGTGTGCAGAGTAAGACTCAACATATAGTTTAAAAAATGAGAAAATAATCAAAACATATTTAACAGAAGATGAAAGACCATATGCGAAAAAATGTCTTTCTCAAAAATAAATATTAAAAATATTTTTTAAAGTGAAAACTAAAAGAACACTGTTTAGTGGGGGAGGCGGGGGGGAACAGATGG